GCGCGGCCGGAGGGCCCGGGCGGCCCGGGGAGAGGCGGCGGGGCTGGGGTGCGGAGCGGAGCCGGGCAGGGCAGTGAGAAGGAGTCGCTGGTTTACCTGCGGTCCAGGACAGGGAGTCTCTCAGAACCCAAGTCAGTCTTCAGCCTCAACAACACAAGATGGCCGACACGTCGCCACGCACGTCACGTGACGCCGCGCGCTCCGCCACGCCCCCTGCCCCGCCCCCGCCCCCCGCCTCGCTTCCCTTTCCCCACTTGCCCAGCCTCCCACGACATCCTTCCTTTCCTCAGTCTCCCGCCCCTCTCCCGGGACACGCCCCTGCCCGAGACCCGGATGTCAAGCTGAGCAGGGCGGGGCCACGGCCCGGCGCAGGCGCAGTGGCGGGCGCCTGCTGGAGCCCTTGGCTGAAGCTCCCTGCCTGCCCTTGAGTTGAGTAGAGTTGGTGTCCAGAGTTGGCCCCGCGCCAGGCACCCTGTGACTCACTAGCTTGTGTGCCCAATCCGGGGCCTGTGTTCAGTTTTAAACGCTCTGCAAATTTTCCACACTAGAACTTTTCCAGAGCTTTCTGTCCAGCCCTGAGGCTTCTGATAGTTGGGTCTCTTAGCCCACCTCAAAGTTCACTTTTTCTGCCTGGGTGCGATCCTAGAGAGTGTGGTTGGGAGCGACCAACGTGGAAATCCCTATCAGTTTCTCTGTTCACAGTGGAGCCTGAAGCCCATTCTGGAGGCCTGGAAGCTGAGTGCTACAGAGCACACTCATTTACACTTCAACATCAAACACTGTAACCCTCTGCCCAGCAATCTCTCCTGCTCTGGGGTTGCCAGGAGAGCTTCAAACCGGTTCATTTCGGTTCAACCCCCTGCTGAGAAGTTTCCTTTCCACCCACATATACCGAATTAAGCTACAATTTAGCACAATCCCCTGGCGATTCTTATACATGCACAAACGTATCCTGAGACCTCTAAGAATCACCTGTGGAGGGGGGAGGAGGGGTAGAGTGGGAGTAAAGGGGAGACGATGTCAAGGAGACCAGGAAGGAAAAGAATGTTTGGAAACGGATGGTGTGGTAGCAATTGTACAATGCTGCTTAATGTGATTGAACTAAGGAATGATATATGTATTAACTGCCAGTTAAAAATAAAAGTTAAAAAATAAAAGAACAAAAACACCACCACCACCTTTCTGGCCGTGTTTCTATGACAATCTTCAGCACATTTTGGCTCTCTAATTGAAACATGACTCCAATTTGCAATTCAAATAGTCAATAAATGTCCATCTTTTTTTTTTTTAATGAAAGCATCACCTGCAGATTCGGAGTCAGTCTAAATGTGGGTTAGACACTGGAGTGCTAACCACAAGGTTGATGGTTCCAGGCCCACCAGATGAGGGTCCCTGAGCATTGGAATCAAGTCAATGGCAATGGATTTTTGGAGGGAGCAATACATGGGTCACACTTACACTAAAAGCTTCCTTCTTGTGCTCTGAATTCAAGTGTCACTGGGGGTCTTGTATTTTCACTTGCTAAATCTGACCATTTGACCCTTAGACTCCCTTCTTCTACATCTCCAATCGCTGTCAAGCTTGCAAAAGCAAGATCCTTCTCGTGAACTTTCAAGAAATGTTCAAGAGTTTTCCAAAAATTAGCGTTCAAAACTCCATTTCCCCCTTCAGACACTTTCCTGCTTTCCTGTTCCCTTTAGTACTCATATCTATCCACCTACCAATTTCCCCAGAGGACACCTCAAGCAGCAGGCATTTTTCAAATTCTCAAATCAACTCTAGCGATGCCCTAGCTTCCACACGATTGACCCCACCCTGCTTTCTCAGCCACCACTGTCCCTTGACTTTTATGCCCTGTCACTCAAGGTGTGGGCCATAGGCCGACAACGTCTAAATCCCCTGGCAATTTGTTGAAGGTGCACACGCTTCGCAATCCCATCGAGCTAAACTCTTGACTGTCATCCATGCCTCCCTTGCCCTCCCTCCCATCTCCCTCAAGAATGCAGGACTCCTGCTAAGCCCCTAGTTGAGGCTCTTCAAATGTTTTTGACAGTGCTGTTTCTTCCCTCCCTCCCTCATGACTCCACTTCTCCCCACCCTGCTCTTACCCCCCTCAACTTTAAAAGCCTAAGGCATATGTTACTGCCTCTGGGAAGCTTTTTAAAATCCCTTCCAAGAGACCAAAAGACTTGTCCTTTCAACTGTTTTGTTTTAATTTTGTTTGTTTTTGTTTTAATCATTTTATTGAGAGCTTTTACAGATGCTGTAACAATTCATAATTCCATGAGATCATGCAATGATTATACAATTGCTGCCACCTTCGGTTTCAAAACATTTTCATTCTTTTTAAACTCCTGATAGCAGCTCCCTCCCCTGTTTCCCCTCCCTCCCCCATCAACTGTTATTTTTAAAACAATAATAATACTTGCTATGTAGCAACCGGAGCCCCAGTAGCACTAACAGGGAAGTATTGGGCGGCTAACTACAAGGTTGAAAGTTCAAAGGCACCAGCTGCTCCTTGAGAGACAGTCCAGACCATCTGTTTCTGTAATGACTTATCAACCTTGAAAACCAAGTTTATAGGATTGCTTTGGGTCAGGAGCGATGAATTGATGACAGTGGCTCGTATGTAGCAATGGCTTCATGAAGAAGTGGACTCACGTTCTCTTTTGTGATCCTGAAGAAAGCCTTTGGAACCCTGAGGAAACAGAGAGAGGGAAGGGTTCCCCTCTCCTAATCATGGGAACTGCCAGGTCCAGAAGGGCATGCTACCTCAGCAATGCTGTCATCACAAGAATGTCCACACGTCCATGGGCTGAAGAAACGGAATCGTATGGTCTCGCACTCTGGGAAGCTAGGAGTTCAAATTCAGGACACCAGTTCTAGGGCAAGGCTTTCTCTGTCCACTCAGAAAAGTCCTTGTCTCCTCGGCTCCTGTCCCTGGTTCCTTGAAGATGTCCATGTGACTTGGTATCTATCTTCCACATCTCTGCGTATTTAATCCCTGTCTCAGAAGAGGTAGACATCTTCCACTAATCCTCCACTAACATAACAAAGACAACTCGTTCCCAACTGGTATTATAACTGCAGGCATTGACAACAGGTCTTTCAGAGAGCTACAATTCAATCACTAACACACCAATGTGTGCGCGTGATTTCTACACAGTACGCTTAGCTTTTATGATGCACCATTCTACAAGTTTTGACAAATGCAGAAGGTTGTGTAAATACCACTAAAATCAACATACACAACAATCCCATTGGCCACTGAAATCCTTCCCTTTCACTTCGTAGCCAACCCTATTCCAGCCCTGAGGCCCCGGGCAGCCACAGGTCTGCTTTCTGTCTATCTCCAAACTGACTCAAGAGATGATAAAAACCTCAGTAGTCTCACGGCAAGGGGAGAGACGGAACTAGTGACCAAAATCCTTCCAACAAACAGAAGTCCTGGACCAGATGGCTCCACTGGGGAATTCTACTAAACATGTAGAGAAGAAATGACACATGGTATTTAAACACCTCCAAAAAACCAAGAGAAGGGAAGGGTATTTCCTGATTCATTCTGGGAAGCAAACATAATGCTCTTAGCGGTACGAAAAGAACACTACGGGCCAATATCTCTTATGGATACAGTTGTAAACATTCTCAACCAAATATTAGAAAGCAGAATCCAGCAGCTTGTTAAAAGAGTCATACATTATGACCAACCAGGATTTATTCTAGGAATGCAAGGATGGCTCAACATTAGAAAATCAGTCAATGTAATACACCACCTAATGCAACAAAGTGGGGAAAAATGAGGAGCTGATACCAAGGGCTCGGTAGAAAAAGTACAATTGTGCTTGACTCCTGGATGGATGTGTGGATTGTGATAAGAGTTGTACAAGCCCCCAATAAAATGATTAAAAGAAAAAAGAAAAGAAAGAAAATTCCAAAAAAAGAAGAAAGTTTCCCCCAAAAGAAGAAAACTCCTAAGAGTCCACAAGAAAACTTCTAGAGCTGATAGAGAAATTTAACTAAGTCTCATGGTACAAGACCAACAAGCAAAAATTGGTTGGGTTTCTATCCAACAGCAAGGAGAAATCTGGCAGAGAAATTAGGGAACGGTCCCATGTATAACAGCATCTATGGAAATAACACCTCGGAATAAACCTCACCAGGGACATGAAGGCCTCTACTGGCTCCCTAATAGTATTCAAGGAGCCTTAATGATACATGGTTAAGCAGTTAATTGGCTGCTAACCAGGTTGATTGTCTGAACCCACCAGCCGCTCCCAGAGAGAAAGATGGGGCAGACTGTCTGTCTGTTTGTCTGTTTGTTTATTATTTATTATTCATTCATTCATTTATTGATGGGGCAGGCTGTTTCTGTAAAGGTTCCAGCGCAGGAAACCCTAGGAGGCAGTTCTGTTTTGTCCTGTAGTGTCGCTGTGAGCCAGAATTTCGTTTGGGTTTAGTTTTGGGTGTGCCTGTGGTTAAAATCCCATTTGGGAATGAGTCGTCGTTGTGATGTTAATGCGGAAGCCTTCCTGGAAGGTGGGCCCCAGTCACTCTTACCAGACGTGAAAGGATCCGATTAAGTAAGCAAAGACGAGCAAGAGAGATGCCCGACTGCATGGAGAGCTTCTCCGAACCCAGAAACAGAAGCCAACGGGACAGGACCTTCCCAAAGCCGCCCTACGGGTAGCACTCTCAATTTGACTTCCTGCTCCCCAAACTGTGAGAACAGACGATAGATCCCCCACTGCCCCACAGGACCCAGAGGGTGGCTATGAACCCTCAGTTCTGGTACAGCCTGTTTGGGGACGCAGGGCGGTGGCCAAACTGTGGCTTGGTGAATAGGTAGCGTGCGCAAGAAGCAAGGGTCAGCCCACAGATGCAGGGTCACGGGTCACATGGTCAGACCTTTAGGGCTCAGAGGCTTTGGGGGGGCTGCAAGGGGTGGGGCAGGTGACCAGGAGGGTTAGCAGAAATCTCCCTGCAGACTGTCTCATTGTTCTGCTGTTAGGCTCAAACCACAGATCTTGCGGTGAGTAACCGGTTGTCCAGCCCAAAGTGCCACTAGGGCCCCTGTGGGCTGGCTGGGAAAGGGGCCTACAAAGAACAGAGGGGCTGGGTGAGTGGCCTCTGTGCCGGGGCCAAAGCAGCAGCCAGGGCCAAGTCCAGCAGGATAAGTACGGTAGG